CCCAGACCCGCCTGCAGCCCGGCGGGGAAAAGGCCCTTGCCGGGGGCGGGCGGGGCAAACGCGTTGATAATGTCCCCCGTTAGCGTGCTAGAAAGCGCGGGAGGGCTTTGTGCGGCGGGAACTTGCCTTCTGGAGCCAGAGACACCCGGACAAATCCCAGCTGTGTCGCCTGTAGGCAGGGGCGACAGAAGGAACCCGGGGAAGACTCCGGTTTCCCGGCTGAAAATAATGGCATTGTTCTGAGAGTTAGATCAGTTATCGCCTGTAAAGCACATGGCCAGCTGAGTGACAACTGCTGTTTAATGCAGAAGCCACTTTGTTCTGTTCCTTGGGTGGCTTATGTAACCTCAGAGCCACTTTATGATCGCGTGTAACCGCATGTAACCAACCGCATTAAAAACAAAAACAACCAAGATTCAGGCAGGTGGAGCCATGTGCTCAAATCACAAGTTAGTGGTGAGTGGGCTCCGATTTAAGAGCAGGTGTGCTTTAAATCTCAGGCTCTGTCTAAATATCGCACCTGCCTGAAACCAGCATTAGAGACTTCCCAGCACTTCCCTGTCCCTCAGTAACCAAGGATAAAGTTGGAAGTGAGTGTGAGATGCCTGTCACCATTTTCAAATGTACTCTGGAATTTTTGGTGTGTCCTTAGAATTCTTGGGTCAGACAGAGGCCCCTAGCCCTTTCTGTGCTGGCAGGTGGTGTGTGTTTTAAGTGTGAAATGATAGTGAATTCCAGGAGAGTCATAGTTTGACCCTATAGTGAATTTGTTTCCCCGACCCAAGTCCTAAGTCTTGGGAAACAAATTTATATTCTAGAACAAATTAAAAACAGTTTCTATTTTAGAGAAATTATTTTAGAGCAGCACTTGTGATGGAGGTCTCTAGGAATAGAAATTTTCCCTGGAAGAGAACCTCACAGTTCTTACTCTCCCCATCAGAGCTTCAGAGCTGCGGCAAAAGAGGTTCTGGGGTAAAAGGAGCAGGGCCTAAACCGTCAGAAGCAGTTCTTGAACTCTGGGCCAAGGTGTTGCCACCTCCAGAGGTCACCACACTATGTGACAGTGGAGGATTTGGCCAGTTTTGAGAAGAGGGAGATGAGCTGTGGTGACCCAGGGGTATGTTGCCCAGGAAAGGCTGCTGTGGGGAGATCTTAGTAAGGATGAGGTCTGAGGGTAAGGGATAACCAGCCAGAGGGTGGAAATTTTGTTTCCACTATTGCTAAACCGCTCCCTTCACCCCCAGTCCCTTCATTCCTGCCTCTTTACAAATAGTATGCCACTCTCACCTGTGCCCATCACCACAGGTGGCAGTATTGACTTCTCCTGACCTCAGGGAATCTCAGAATGATGGCTCACAGAGGGTTTCCGTGGTTATCTACTTCTGATTCTTGAAAGCTTTCAAGAAATTGGACCTGACTGGTTCGGTGACTTGTCAAGGGACACCCAATTTGTGACAATCAGGAGGAAAACACAGTGCCCTTCACTTTCTCACAGGTGAGTCACCAAAAGCCTCTTATGAAAAGGACCCTTTGAGAGACTAACTCAGTTAAAGTGCAAGGAAAGTTCTTGCCCTAAAGCGCTTCATATTTTACTGAAATTTCTGTGGATTTTCTCCCTTGAGGGGTAAGCACTGTTAATAGGAAAACAGTTAAGTGATGCAGCCTTAGTATTTTCCTGTGTTGATTTTAATGAAAGATAAATGCCGTATCCTTCATACACTTTAACGTAACTAATTTTCTCTTGTGTTGTTTCTTTTAAAAAATATTTTATTTATTTATCTTTGCTGGGGGGAATTAGGTTTGGTTATTTTGATGGAAGTACTGGGGATTGAACCCAGGACCTCGTGCATGCTAAGCACACACTCTACCACTGAGCTCTACCCTCCCCACCTGTCTTGTGTTGTTTCTGTGATTAATGATTAATTCAGAAAAGTCGAACCTCAGTGTCACTTACAGGAAATTATTGTTTAAACGTAGGGAAGGTTATATTTAGTGAATGAAAAGCTGTAGGTGTTAGTCCACACGACCACTTCTGGAGTCAGATGCGCTACCGTTGTGCCACGAGGTCCTCACATGACCATTTCTGAGTCCTGTGTGGATGAGGAGTGCTCCCTCTGCCTGGTCCTTCCCTGACCTCCCAGCGGAACCTTCACGGTTCTCTGCACTGTCCTGAGAGCAGCAGAACGAACACATCTCAGCTGAGCTGTTTATTCTTTCCCCATTTTGCATTGTAGTGGATTTGTGAGGTTTATAAGGGGCCATACATCAAACAGAAAAGGAGAAATAGAAATAAAGTCAGTTTTGAAGGGAAATACACACATCTTCAACATTATTTCTGTTGTTTGCTGTTGGCTTTTGGTGGGTAACCTTTGTTGATAAGCGTGTTCCCTCCAGTTGCCAGTTTGCTTAGATTTCAGTGTAGTCATGATGCTTTGAATTATATTGAGTACTTTTGCTGTATTGATGGAAATAAAGACATAGCTTATTTCCTTTACCCTTTAAATATTGTGAGTACGATAATGAATTTTCTCATGTTAATTTGTTGATTTCCTGTATACCCCCTGCTTCCTGATGAGTTGCTTTGTGTGTATGTTGGCTGGGATCTTTCTGCTCGTACTTGCTCATTTCTGTATCGCAAGTTAGGTGAGCCTATAATTTCCTTTTCCTGTGTTCCTGTAGAATTTTGGTGTTTGGTCATATTTGCTTCATAAAAAGGATGGGACACATTTCTGCTCCCTTTTTCTTTGCTTAATGTTTTTTCACTAGTAATGTATATGAGGTGGGGAGGATATAAACAGCTCAGTGGTAGAGTGCGTGCTTAGCACGCGTGAGGTTCTGGGTTCAATCCCCACTGCCTCCATTAAAAAAATATATATATGTAAAAATAAATAAACCTAATTACCCCCCTGAAAGCATTTAATCTGTGTTAGAAAAATTGCATGTTATCTGTAGGGGATTTTTGTGTGAAGATTTTGAGAATCAAAACAGTTTAATAAGTGATCATAGGTCACTTCTGTGTTTTTCTCTCACCATGTGTCTTTCAAGGAGCAGAAGTATTTAGTCGATCAGATTTTCAGTTTCTTTTTTGGTATTTATATATATTTTTATTGAAGTGTAGTCAGTTTACAATGTTGTGTCAATTTCTGGTGTACAGCACAGTGCTTCAGTCAGGCATGAACACACATATATTCGTTTTCACCGTAAGTTACTACAAGATACTGAATATAGTTCCCCGTGCTATACAGTACGAACTTGTTGTTTGTCGGATTTTATGAGAATCCTGCTGTATTTCAAAGTGAGACACTTTGCCAGAGTTCAGCAGCTGCTCTGCATGATTCAGCGGGTCCATAGATGTAATTCTTGGTGTATTTTTGGGAGAGTGCGAGCCGTGAGTCTCTCTACTCTGCCATCTTGGCACCTCCAGTCCAGATTTTAAAAAATTTTAATCTCTTTAATTAGTTACGCTTTTTTGGGTCATATTTTAAACTTTTCCTAAACCGAGGTCACAGAGATCTCCTCTCGTGTTTCTGGAAGTTTTGTGATTACAGTAGGCCCTCTCTGCGGATTCTGCAACCATGGATTCAACCAACTGCAGATTGAAAATGTTTTGGGGGAAAAACATTCCAAAAAATTCTGAGAAGCAAAACTTGAATTTGACTCAGGCCAGCAATCATTTACATAGTATTTAAATTGTATTAGATATTGTAATTAATCTACAGATGGGAGGATGTATGCAGGTTAGATGCAAACACTATAGATTTTGCGGGTGGCATATTCTGATCTGTTTTATCACACAAGGGAGAAACTCTAAATTTGATAAAGGTAGGGAAGATTTCCAGCAGAAGTCGAACCTCAGTGTCACTTACAGGGAATGAAACGTGAATGTAATGAACACGGAAAAACTTTCATCCAGATATCAAGTCTTGCATTACGTCAGGTAGCTTACATGAACAGCTGTGTAAGTGTCACCGATCTTGGAACACTTTCAGCCAGAAATCATGCCATTGAGAACATCAGAGAGCCCACAGGAGGAAATATGATGATGAATGTAGGGAACCTTTCAGCCATGAGTCAGGGCTAAGAAAGATTGCAGAGCTTAGAGAAGGGGCTACAACCTGCTAGCTAATGAGCACGGAGGTTCCTCGTTAAACTTGGAGAACTGTCAAAGTCTGTTCAGGCTGCTACGACAAAAATACTGTAAGACTGGGTGGCTTCAGTAACAGGTGATTATTTTTCAGCGCTGTGGAACTGGGAAGTGCAAGGTCAGGGTGCTGGCAGGTTCAGTGTCTTGTGAGGCTCCACGTGCTGGTTCCTAGATGGCTGTCTCCTTGCCTTGTCCTCACATGGAGGAAGGGGAAGGGAGCTCTTTGGGGCCTTTTTTTTTTTTTGAAAAATGACACTGATTCCATTCATGAGGCTCTGCCCCCCTGACCTGTTCACCTCCCAAAGGCCTCTACCTGCAAAATACCAGCACGTTAGGGATTCAATGCATGAATTTTGGGAGGACACAAGCTTTCAGTCTATAGCAAGAACTTCCTCTGGAATGAAAGCCCTTGAAATGTAAATAGTCTTCCAGCCACTAAGGATAAATTTGGTCCTTGTTGGACATCGGAGAATTCTCTGGGTAAGGAAGTACTCTGAAGATAGAGAATACAGGAAATAATCTTTATGACCCTAGCCCCCAGTAAACTTCCACTGTGGAGAGACACTGAGAAAGCAGTGTGAAAATGTGAAAGCTTTTGAGCTCATTGAGCAAAGTACTCACACAATGAAGAAAGTCTGGAATGCAGTAAATATGTGATAGCTTCAGCCAGAAGCCACCATTCTCAGCAGAGTAGAAAATGCACAGAGCCGTGCAGACCTCATTAGGATAGCAGCCAGATGACAGAAATCTTATGAAGGTAATGGATTTGGGAAGTCCGCCCACAAGTCAATCCACAATATATACAATTGATAAATGTAACTAAAAAGAGATCCCCATCCCAAATACTGCACGGTCACCAGTAGCCACATCCTTCTGTCCCTGGGCCCACTGCCCGTCTAGATCTCCCAAGCTTTCATTTGAATGAGGTGATGTCACCAGCTTCTAGGTAGCGGAATGTGGGTGTTGGTGGTAAAACAAACCCCAGGAAAGATCGTCACCCTGTATAGTCTCTGCCGTCCCTTGTTGCTGCACTGAGGTCAGAAGGGTACCACGTGGAAGGGGTCAGGGTTCTGGAATCACTGTGCAGAGCAGTTCCCTCTGACAGTTTGACTTTGGTGGGGAAGGAAAAAGCTTGTTCTCTGCCAGGCTTACGGGTTTGGTCTTGCTGACGTATCCCTGACATCCCTCGGCTAACACGAGCTTGAATATGACCTTGGTGAAACGTGCCAAGGTGGTATATGTCAGGAAAGCCACGTAGGACGAACCCCTGACAGCATCCTGAATGATCATTAGCTGTTAACCACAACTCTTCTTTATTACTGGTCATGTAGGTGGCGGGATCTGTCTGATGTGTCCTTAGGTTATATTTAGGCTGTGTACCTTCTGTAGCAATATATAAAAGAAGCGTGGAGTACACCATACCAGCAGGCACATGCTGTTAACCAGTCCCATTAATAGTGATATTAAATTGAATTATTTGGTTAGGGTGGTGTCTTTCATGTTTATTCCCCTTAAAAGTCGTCATTTAAGCCTATAATATTAATACCATGTGAGTAGATACATTCAGGTTATACATATGTCCTCTTAACCGTCTAGATTTTACCCACTAATTTTAGCATTTACTTCTAATCTTTGCCCAAATGAATGATCATATTTGGAAAACCTTTTAATTTGTTCCGTCATTCCTCCTGTGCTTATGGTACAGGAGAGGTTTTGCTCCAGAGTTTTTCGTTTATGTCTGTTTAGACTCAGATTTCTTCTTCAGTCAGCAGGTAATCCTTAGCTAGTGGGTTTTGTTTTGTTTTGCTTTGTTTTTATGCTCAAACCATCTGAGATACGGCCAGGGGACGGTCATTCAAACTGGCCTCTGTGTCCTTTTACTAGGTTTCTGATACCTTTTTCCCTTTACCAAACCATTTTTGAACTTGTTCTGATCATGATAACGTTTAAGCTGCCTTTGTAATAAACTGCATTATTGACCAAGGCCTTTATTCACTGCCGCTCCCCCCCGCCCAATTTTAAGTTTTTCTTAAAATACAATTTTAAGGCCCCTTAAATGTTTTAAAATTCTGATTGGAATATCATTTAATTTAGGATTTTTATATATCATTTAATATCATTTAATCTAGGATTTTTAAATGCTGCAATGGAAAAGAAGGGGCAATGGATAATCCTAGGAAATGCTTGCAGTGTTTTTGGGATTTAGAACAGGCACCAGCTGAAAAGGAAATGGGGAATTTCAGGTGCTTGGTGTTGGCTCAGAAAATGTGGCTGGATTATTCTAGTCAGTCACACCCGAGACATTTCTTTCCCCAGGTACCTCCCACCGAGCTCTCCGCCTAAGTGTTCTG